TGCCGTGACTAGCACTGTAGATCAGGATAGCCACACTTTGCAATTGTATCCAATATGGGTATGTAAAAAAAAAAACAGCATTAAATGCCAATAAATATTTTTTATTGCATTAAACAACTTTTTATAAATATTACATAAACACTATATATAATGTAATTCTTGGAAATTAAATTTGACTCTTGACAATATACGTGTACTATCTCTACCTACAGGTACTACATAGCCTGAGTGATTTGTTAAATACTAGCAATCATTTACTGATAGTATACTTAACACTGCTTATTTTTTCTTCTGGGCTATTAACCCTCTTGAGGATAATGATTTAAAAACATTAAACCCTCCATATAATGGACTACAGGATAATGGAACAAAATCCACTGGGTCAATCAATTTGGAAACAAGACTTATCAATTATTGTTAATCACAGTCACACAATGTCTTCTCTATTATAATGGTAAGTTAGATATTGGTCTATAGTTATAGTTATTGACATCAATTGGGTCTCCACCTTTGTGCACTGGAGTAACCCTGCTATCTTTAGTACTGTCAGGAAAGTGTTGGTTTCTAGTGATTTGTTAAACAACAATGTAATGGTGAGTGAAGGGACATGAGCTGCTCTTCTGAACAATAGTGGTGATACTTGAGCTAATTTTCCTGACTTTTTTTTTCAGTGAATTTATCAGTGTGACCTTTATGGAATCAGCTGGAGCAAGATAGAGAGAACTTGGGAAACATCCAACAAGGTCTAAAACCTATATAAAAACCTATTTTCCCCCTATACACCTATGTTATAATTGGAGATGCATTCCCAAGCCATAATATTCCATATCTAACTCAATATATTTTAAGATAAGAATATTTACCCAATATTTTACTTTCAGATGTATAAGGGCAGGCAGAAGCTGGACTGTTTTCCCCTCTCGCCCTTGCTGCTCCCACCCTCTAACATCATATCTACCACAATACTCTATACAAATGCTCTCCATTTCCTCACAGCTGTGGTTGCGTGTGTTGTGTGGGAGGCATGGGGATCACAGTTATAGGGGCTGGCAGCAGCTGGACTGCTTCCTTCCCTCTCTTGCATTACATCGAACTTAAAACTAGCACTCTTTCACAATCTCACATACTCTCTCTCTCTCTCTCTCTCTCTCTCTCTCTCTCATACTCACACTCCCATTCTCTTCTTCACACTCCCACTCCTGTCACACTCTCCAACTTTCTCCCTCACACACGCGTGCGCGCGCACACGCATGTGCACACACACACACACAACGCACACACACACACATGCGCACACACACACACACATACACACACACATACATACACATACACACACAACACACACTACACACAACACATACACACACATACACACACACACACACATACACACACACATACACACACACACACAACCATACACACATACACACACACACATACACACACACACACACACACACACACACACCACACACACACACACACCACACACACACACACACACACACCAACTCTCTCACATTGTCTTACACCCTCACACTCACAGTAGTGACCAGTGAAGAGGCAGGGCCAGGAGCTATGATTTGACCCCTGCAACCACAATTAGGTGAGTACACTCTCACACTCACACTCAGTCCCTCTCACTCTCAGTGAGACCTGGTCACGGACCAGGCTGCAGGGGCATTGACCCCCAAAACCCTCTCCAGGTATACACTCTCTCACACTCATACTCTCACGCTCTCACTCACACTCAGGGCCAGGAGCTATGACTCAACCCCTGCAACCACAATTAGGCGAGTACATTCACACAAATTCTCTCTCATCCACACTCTCACTCTCCCACACTGTCACATTATATATACAGTGGACCCCTGGTTCGCGATATTAATCTGTTCCTGAGAGCTCATCGTAAACCAAAATTATCGGAAAGCGAATCAATTTTCCCCGTAAGAAATAATGGAAATCAAATTAATCCGTGCAAGACACCCAAAAGTATGAAAAAAAAACTTTTATCACATGAAATATTAAGTTGAATGCTATAGAATAATTACAATAACAACAATAACAATAGAATAATTGACACTTACCTTTAATGAAGATCTGGTGATGATTGATGGGGTGGGAGGAGGGGAGTGTTGAACCTATTGTTTAGAAGGGGAATTCCCCTCCATTAGGACTTGAGGTAGCAAGTCCTTTTCCGGGTTTACTTCCCTTCTTTTAATGCCACTAGGACCAGCTTGAGAGTCACTGGACTTCTGCCGCACAACATATCTGTCCATAGAGGCCTGTACCTCTCATTCCTTTATGACTTTCCTAAAGTGGTTCACAACATTGTCAGTGTAATAGTCACCAGCACAGCTTGCAATAGCTGTGTTAGGGTGATTTTCATCCATAAAGGTTTGCAGTTCAACCCACTGTGCACACATTTCCTTAATTTTTGAAGTAGGCACAATGGATTCCACAACTGGCATAGGCTTCTCAGGGTTAGCCCCAAACCCTTCAAAATCTTTCTTAATTTCCATACTAATTTTCACCCTTTTTACCACAGGGTTGGCACTAGAAGCTTTTTTGGGGCCCATGGTGACTTATTTTGCAGAAACAAACACCAAAAACAGTGATAATATGGATAATATGGAATGTACCGAATGTATCCTTAGATGCGCGCACACTGGCTGGCTTGTAAACACTTGCACACACGGGGCAGTTCAGGCCACATGTGGACACGTCTCGTACGAATCGTATCGCATACTGGGTTTTGTAACGGGAACCGAGGCAATTTTTTTGCGATATAATGCATCGGATACCAATAGCATCGCGAACCGGGGGTCCACTGTACAGTAGGGCCCCACTTATACGGCAGGTTAGGTTCCAGGCTACCACCGTAAAGCGGAAACCGCCGTAAAGTGGAACACCCTTTTTTTTTTCCTTATAAATGCATACAAACACTAGATAACAAGTTTACACTAACATATATTAAGTTAGCAACAGAACCAGGCATCAAAAAACAATAAATAAGTACAATACACACATAGTGCACTCATTACTTACCTCAAATATTTATAGTCTTAATCTAGGGTGAGACAAGTAGTATTTATTGTAAGAAATCAAGTGTGGTATGTATGGTAGTCAGCCGGGCTACTATACCAGGCCAACCCACCCACACATACTATTCTATGATATTTAAGCATCCCAGAGCGATAAAATGTATATACAGTCCACTCATTACTTACCTTAAAATATTTGTAGTCTTAATGTAGGGTCAGGAGTAAGTAAATGAGATAAAACGAATAAATGAGAGAGAGAAAGAATGAGTGCATGAGAGAGAGGACAGGCGCAGAGTTATGTAAACAAACCAGGCGAAGGTAAGTTTTGTAAACAAAGTGTACATGTCTGGTTTGTGTACAAGTTACATTGTGTACAGGTTGTCTCTACATTGATACGGTAGAATAAATAAAGAAGAACACTCCCATTCTCATGTAACATCATTTTGAGAAGAAATGAAGCTCTGAGTGAAGGCAATGGAAATAAGTCACTCTGACTTTTTTGGGTTATCCTAGGTTCTCTACACATATGTTGTTATGTATGATAATCTATGTAACTGTATTTGTGTATACCTGAATAAACTTACATACATACGAAAGGAATAATTTTCTACAGTTACCCCCAGTAACACATTTTCTCTTATGTTAGATTAGAGAAAATGTTATTCTTGGCATCACTTGTACAAGTTATCAGGCTACGACATCTCATATTTATGTTTATTTATTCTATTGTAGGGTGTATTTATCATCTTTTTAGGTTATGTATCGTGTTTATTATATAATTTTGAAAAAAATATCATGGATGGATTAATGAAAATGTGTATATTAACATAATATACAACATTTAATAAAACTTCGTTTAGTTTCAGTTTAATATGTTTATTATGCACCCCATACCCATCCTGTGGGCGGTAGTCAAAAGATTACAGAGGTACATAATGGGTCCAGGGACTGGGCCTCAAAGTTTTGATAGCTGAGCAAGTTACAGAATAAGACTCGGTGATTATTATTATTATTATTATTATTATTAGCATTTTTAATATGGCGTCACTTGTGCAAGTCGTCTGCTACCACATCTCATATTTGTTTATTTATTCTATTGTGGGGTGTATTTAATTTTGAAAAAATATCATAGATGGATTAATGAAAATGTGTATTTAACGTAATATACGACATTTAAATGAGACTCGATGATTATTATTATCATTACTAATATGATGTCTGGAGACATAAGACACTCTTAATGATTTTAATGTGTACCTGCATGCCAGCATAGTATGTAAGTTTATTTAAGTACAGGTATACATAAGTATAATTATCAGAGTATATATAAAATATGAAATAACTTTTAAAAACATTTGAAATTTTGGAGTTTCCAGACAAAATGGAGAGACTTAGTGCTTACTGAGCTCACGAAGAATGTAAACAAACAAGGTGGGGCGCGGTGACCGTATTAGAAAGTCAGGTGGGGGGAGCCGTATAGCGAGTTTTGGTCATAATTTGAAATGACCGTATTCGCGGAACGCCGTAAAGTGAAATGCCGTAAAGCGGGGCCTTCCTGTGTATATATATATATATTATATATATATATATATATATATATATATATATATATATATATATATATATATATATATATATATATATATATATATATATATATATATATTATATATATATATAATATATATATATATATATAAAAATATATATATTATAAATAAACTGCAAAAATTATTTTAAATAATTTACCCGAATATATGCAGTAACTGTAGCTTCAGATCGTTGTAAGTAATTAACCAGTTCCAAAGTGCCAATACTGTTAGTGCAGAATATCATAAGATATGGCCCTACTGTATCAAATTTATTTTTAGTGTTTTTGTAAACTTTATTGACACACTTTAGATCGCATGTAAACTCTGCCCCAGAATAATCCTGGAGATGCTACTTAAACCAGTGTTCTTGTCACATTTTTCTGTATTTAAAGTTTAATCTTCTTCCTGGGATTTGATCCATTTTTTTTTATTTTACCAGTGATTCCATTACAGTTTTGTAGCTATTGGGTCAGCCATTTGTGTGGCATTTTATCAAATGCCTTTGGCCAATGCATTTTAAAACTATTTAAAAAGTAAATTTTTTATACAGGATTTGAGAGATGAACGACAATAACATCACTCAAAATTCACTAGTTCGCAGACATAAGAATTTAGGCTGATTAAGTGAAAGTTTTCTGTTGCACTTTCTCAGTGTTTCTTCAAAACTTGCATGTCACTGACAAATTTCTATCTTGGGATATTCCTTGATCTAGGGATTCTTTTAATTATGGTAGCATTTCTTGAGGCATACAGACAAAAAAGTTAAAAAATTAAACTGAATCAAGATGACCCTTTTTTGCCTGATGGTCTAAGTTTGAAATTTCTCTACTTACATATTGCACACATCCCTTCCACTAGTGATATCAAGGGAAGTATTTTGTCCCCCAAACAAACACTGCTTTTACATAATGGAAAAAAAAAACATTTAATTCTGTTACAATATATTCTCATACCCTAACTGATGGAGTTTTTCTCGTTGAATTTCATAAACTTCTTCAGTAGTAAAAGGATTGATAGAAAAGAATGTATACAATACTAAAGTGAGAATAAGGATGATCACCAGCATGAAGTTGAGTAGATAACTCTCCCATCGTTCTTGATGCAAGTTGGTTAGCTGAGTGATGTGTTCATTCATAGCTATTGCTTGTTGCTGCAGGAGAAGAATAACTTTAAGGTTAATACAGTGTTATTTCATTTGGGTAGCACTGAGCCTATAGCAGTGATACAACAGCAGTTCTTGCATTAACTCCCTTGAAGGGAGTTCATACAGTAGCCCAGGTTTGTCAAGATTGAAAAATAAACCAGTTCTATACTGCATTATTATACAGTATTAGATCCTTATAGGTTTAGCACTAATGATTATAATAATATTATACAACATTAGCTATATATCATATCAAATGAAACCCTCTTTCTCTCCCACTAAGCTAATCTAACACTTCCACTCTTGTCTCTCACTTTTCTCAAGTGATACTCATGGCTTAAAATAAAATTCACCCAAAAATTAAAACATAATGATATGCCCAACTCAACCATATCAAGTTATTAAGCCAACCATCACTGGTAAATGTTCTTCACTTATCTTCTATATATAACAGCCTAACCTTCCTAATCTTACCAGTTATGTTCATTTGATGTAAACATACTGATGGTGGAAATGTATTATTTCCACATTGATTTCAAGGTTTATAAAATAAATTCTTACATCCTCAATCATATATTGAGAATTAATGGTAGCAGGTGGTGGTTCTTGATAGCAGGGAAATGTTAAACTTGTAAGGCTTACCATACAAGTTTTACAAGGAGGTAATCCGATTTGATCTGATGACAGGGAGGGTAGTTCTAATTTTTGTCCATCACTGAGGTATCCCACCTAAGGAATTCATTTCTTTTGTACATTTATTAAATTGTCCTTACCTGTGCTTTTTCTGAATTATCAAATCCTAGGAGCCAATTGAAAAATCGCAGGTACCACGGTGTCATGTAGTGTAGGTTGTCAGGAGCAACTGGAAATATTTAATATATCTGCATAAAAATGAATACAATTTACGACAAAATGGTAACATGTAATAATCAGTACAGTTAAAGAATGAGACACTTGTGCAACACTTGGGAACCTTTATTGTGGAAATGTTTCACCAGTCAGTGGCTTCTTCAGTGCAACACAGAAAAGAATAGTGAAAGATGAGTACAGTGGACCCTCAGTTAACGACATTAATCCATTCCAGAGAGCTCGTCTTTAACTGATTCTGTTGTTATCCGAATTAATTTTTCCCATAAGAAATAATGGAAATCCAATTAATCCGTTCCAGACACCCAAAAGTATTAAACAAAATAATTTTTCACATGAAATATACATTTTCCTACACAGAAAACAATGAGACATGCAGAATAAACAATACTAAAATGACACTTACCTTTATTGAAGACTTAGTGATGAGTGATGAGATGGGAGGAGGGGAGAGGGTGGAGGTGTATTATTGTTTGGAAAGGGAATCCCCTTCCCTAAGGACTTTAGGTACCAAGTCATTTTCTGGGGTTACCTCCCTTCTTTGTTTTTTAATGCTACTAGGACCAGCTCGAGAGTCACTGGATCCCTGTCACACCAAAAATCTGTCCAGAGAGCTTGTTTCTGGCGTCTCTTGTCATTGTAAAAGTCACCAGCATGGCTTGCAACAGCTGTGTCAGGGTGATGTTCATCCATAAAGGCTTGCACCTTTGTCCACATTGTACAAATGTCCTTAATTGTTGAAGAAGGCAACTTCCTCCATCTCTCTTCCCCCTCTGAAGCAATTTCCTCAGCTGTGATCTGTTGCTGTTACAGATGAAGCTCTTGCAGCTCATCAGTGGTTAGCTCTTCATCGTTGTCCTCCACCAACTCTTCCACATCCTTGCCACTAACCTCCAACCCCATGGACTTCCCCAATGCCACAACAGATTCCACAACTGGCATAGGCTCCTCAGGGTTAGCTCCAAACCCTTCAAAATCCCACTCTTGTACACATTCTGGCCACAATTTTCTCCAAGCAGAGTTCAAAGTCCTGCAAGTCACTCCCTCCCAAGCCTTACCTATAAGGTTTATGCAACTGAGGATACTTAAGTGATCTTTCCAGAACTCTCTTAGGGTCAGTTCAGTGTCCAAGGTCACTTCAAAGTACTGTACTTTTGAAACACTGCTTTGGTGTACAGTTTTATTAAATTTGAAAGACCTGCTGGTCCATGAGCTGGAGGAGGGGGAGTGGTGTTAGGAGGCAAAAATTTAACTTTGATAAAAGTAAACTCCCCCACAGGATGAGCAGGAGCATTGTCTAATACCAGGAGGCACTTGAGTTCCAATTTTTTTTTCCAGGAGGTATTTTTTCACACTGGGCCAAACACGTCATAAAACCCAAATCAGGAAAAAACGTCCCTAGTAACCCATGCCTTACTGTTTCCCCTCCACATTAATCACAATTTAGGCTGAAGACACTGTTTTTTCTTGAACACACTGGGGAATTTCAGAGTGATACACGAAAAAAGGGCTTCACTTTGCATCACCACTAGCATTACTCAAAACATGAGAGTTAGCCTGTTTTTTCATAGGCTTGTGTCCTGGGAGTGTGTCTTCCTCCTGAGTAATGTAAGTCCTGTTTGGCATTTTCTTCAAAAATAGGCCTGTTTTTGTCACAACTGAACACTTGTTGGGGTTTTAATTGTTCACCCTCTGTGTACCCCTTAAAGTCCTGCACATATTTTTCAGCAGCTTTTTTTGTCAGAACTGGCAGCCTCACCATGCCTTACCACACTGTGTATGCCACACATTTTCTTAAACTCTCAAACCAATTTTTTGCTGGCTTTAAATTCACTAACATCAGCACAGTTCCAGGCATTTTCTTAATTAGATCATGCAAGTCCCTTTGGGCCTTTTCACCTATAACTGACTGGGGAAACACTATCTCCTGATAATTGTTTCTCGTTGATCCACACCAACAGCTTCCTTGAGTGCCTTTTTGTTGGCCAAAATAGTAGCAATGGATGTAAAGGGGTTTTTTTGTTTCAACCTGGCCAGCTCGGAGACACGCACTCCACTTTCATATTTTGTGATGATCTCTTTCTTGAATTCAATAGTATTTCTCACCCTCTTTACCACAGGGCTGGCACTAGAAGCTTTCTTTGGGACCATGGTGGCTTTTTAACAGTTACAAGCACTAAAAACAATGGGGAAAACAAAATGTATCGCATGTACTCGTGGAATCATCCTCACTGGCTTGTAAACAATGGCACACTAGCTGTACATGGAGTGGCTGGGCTGCTCACTTCATGCGGACACGTTCGGGACGAATGGGCTTTAACCGAGTTTTTTGTCATTAATTGAGCCAATTTTTTTGAACGCAAAAGTGTCGTTATCCAATTTTTAGTTATCCGTTGACATCGTTAACTGAGGGTCCACTGTAGTTTGCAGTAATCGGTCCCTTTAGCCCGGAGTTCAATGTGCCCAGTCTTCAGTCTTGAGAAATGTACAGCATGTGTGCAGGGGAAGTGGTCTATATATTGTAATAAGGCGAGTTGAAGCAGGAGGTTTGTCACCGGTGGAAAAAATCCCCATTTGTAAGTAGTGTCTCATTTTTTAAAATTACTGGTTTTGTAGAGCATTTACATACTTCTGTACATTGCGTACTTGCTTTTCTTTTTTTTAACCATCGCGTTTCCCCCCGAGGCAGGGTTTCCCAAGAAGAAAAAAAAAACCCCCAAAAAAAGAAAAAACTTTTATCATTCAACACTTTCCCTCGCATACATAATCACTGTCTTTGCAGGGCACCGGATCAACTTTTTAGAAGTCCCTCCAAATGCCAGTATACAAACCCCATCCTTTAAATGCAGGATTTTATTTCCCCATTTACGGGACTAAAGCCCGGGGCACCGGGTTTCCCCTGAATTCCCCCAAAAATATTCCCCTGCTCCCACAACAGTATTCGGTTCAAAAACCTTTCTGCCATCAACTTTTCAACATGCTCAGGCTGCTTGCTGGAATTCCAACCCCCTTGCCTACAAACCCCCCTCTTGGGGGGGGCTCCTTGGCTGGTGAAGAGGCTTTTGGGTTTGAGGAATTAGCCCTGTGGGGTCTTTTTCTCAGCCGAACCTAATTACCCCCCAATTTCCCCCCTCCCCTACCCCTTTCCCCCCTTTTTCCTTTCCTCCCCCTCCCCCACCCCCCCCTTTTCCCCTTTCCCTCTTTTTGGCCCTTTTTGGGATTTCTCCCACGGCGCTAGTTCCTAGGTAGGGGAAAGGATCCCGGGGTCCTCCTTTCCGTTGGGGTTTCTTGCAGGGCGAGTTTGCCGTAAAGGATCCCCTGGGGATGCCCCGCCCCCTCTCCGGTATCCGGAGTATTTTTTCGGTGTCTTTCGGGCGACGGGTGTATCTGGGGAAGCCCCTTTCGGAATTCCGGGGTGGTGGCCGAAGGAGGTATCTTTTGATGGTATCCGGCCCCCCCCTCTCTTTTTTTCCCCCGGGTAGCTCGGCAGATGTGGGTTGCTATCCCGGATTGTTAGTTTTCTAGCGGGGTTTTGGGTAGGGAACGGGTTCCATGCTGCATCGGGGTATTTGCGGGGCTGAGGCCCCTTGGGCCGGGGGAGTTTCGGCCCTTTCATTCCTCCTGGGAATATCCCCCCCCGGTCCCCCCCTTTTTTTATTTTTTTTATTTTTTTTTCTTTTCTTTTTTTTTTTTTTAACAAAAAAAAGAAGTAACCAAACCAGGCACCCCCTAGCCCATGAACCTCCCCCCCGGGCCCCTTCTTGCCCGCACCCCTTTTCTGCCCCGCCTGTCTTTGGACCATCTTCGACACCCCTCATCCCTCTTGCGGTGCGTTTCCTCCCCCGTTCAGGTACGGGGCCCGATGACTCCTTTGATTTATGGGGACCTTCCTCTCCTCTGTATGCTTCCGGCCTCTCCCCTACGGTGCGGCAATTTTCAAACGCGGGGCCCCGTTCCACAGGGGACAACCTGGTCCCACCCTAAAGCCCGAAATTAACTGCTGATGAAACTTCTCCCCTTTTGTTCTTCTCAGAAACATCACAGTCCTTCACTACTTTCCACGTGGGTTTCAGACTAACAATGGACTAAATTTTACTTTTAACCGACTTCCCTACTCCCTTCTTTCTGACCACAGATTTGGGAAGGACTCCTCGCCATGTTGGTAAAGATATTTTTTTTCTGCTTTAGAGCGGTACGCGCTCATCCCTTAGAGAATGCTACCCCGGCTATGAGCCTCCCTTGTCTTTCCCATTCGATACTGTTCCTATCACTCTTGAAAAACATCATTCCCTCAAAACTTGTTAGTGGTAAGGCATTTTGCCCCATACCATATTTTTAACAAAAATTTTCCGACATTGGCAGACATTCTTGAACAGCTGGGAAATCCAAAAATTCCAAACCTCAAGGGAGACACTTCGTTCTTCCTGCCCCGGGCGGAGCGATACCCTAGCAATGTGGCTCTTAACTTTTGACGCCCAGAACTCCCCCTCCTCAGTTTATATAGCAGGAAAAAGGTTACAAGTCCGAAAGGTGATCCCCACACTGCAACATTTTAGAAATTTCTGGCGATTTGGCCATCCAGCGAAATATTGCGTCTATCTCCGAAAGCCCCGTCTGTGGTCCGATGACCATTTAATACGTCTGCAATCGATTCCCTTTGCCTTAACTGTCATGGGCTCACCCTTCGTACCTCCCTTTTCAAGTTATTTAAATGAGTGGG